TGCAAAACGGGATATATGAGAGTACAGTCCAATTCCTTGTAACTAATCACTTTAACTTTTATTTGTGAAAGATCATGTCAGACAGAGAAATTCTCCAGGGTGAGAATTCCCCATGCAACACAAAGCATGTTTTGGTTGTGTAATTAGCAGCAATTAAGTATAAAATGGACTTTATAGGTTAGGAGCAGCCCATTAAGAAACCCCACCACACACATCCTTTGCTTTGTTTCGCCTTTTGATATTTTTGATGAGGCCATTGCTAGCTTTGAAGACACTGGCTTTGACAGGAGGTGTGGTGTGATCTGTTGATTCAATGGATCTCATAGCAGTTCAAAAGTGTATCCCATGCTTTTCTTTTTCTTTAAATAACTTTTAGGGGGGAAATACAACCTTAATGCTAATTTTCTTTAGACTAATATTTGACAGAAGGGATCAACAGAGATTATTAAAGACTTTTCTGCATGCTGAAATACTAAGAAGTTAAGCACATATTAGAGTGCCTGTCAGACAATGAAATATAATGAAATGGAAAGCTGGAGGAAAAAAAAATGTTTTAAATGTATTGATTCCACATCTGAATGTTAATATTAAATGTCATTTAAAGTCCATTTATATTTTTGTGGATGATATATCACTGGCAGTTTTTCATTGATTTCTAAGTGCATTTAGCATATTGTAGGAAAAGCCAGTATTAGCAGAGGAAAGGGTCATTCGTTCTTTCCCTGTCACTTGCCACAAAATGGTTACAGTTTTACAAAAGAACGCTGTTGCTGTAAAACTGCTTTCTAATGTGCATTTAGCCATATGAAAAGCTTCTTACAGGAAATGTAATGCTGTTATCTGCCAGTTGCACAATAACTGGTGAGTTTGTCTTACATCACAGCATCTTGTATATGTAGACTATGAATGCATCACTACATATTTAGAGAGGGGGGAAAAGTCAGAAGTTCCTGCAAAAGTAGTTTGGATGATATTAATTACACTGGTATTCTGTGTTTAGATTATTTTCAGAAGTGGTTTTCCACTTGTTCTCTGACTTTTTTCCCCCACTTGTATTCCTTTTACACATATTCCCTATTCCTTGGGTTTTAGGAGAAGGGGCAGATGAAATGCAGAGAGAGATTTTAAACCATTACTGAGGTTAATTCTTGGCATGTGGAGGGTGGGTATAGAATGACCATTAGGAAAATTTGGTTTTTTTTTCCATTACGTATGTGATGAAAATATGTGCAGGTTTGTTCTGAGTCAACTCCTGACCACAAAACACACAAACAAAAAATCCCTTCCACTTTTCCCTTCACTCTGACTATTTTGAAATCACGTTCTTACACTGAACATGGGGAATAGCTCAACTTCCCATACGTTCCATATTCCTCTAAATTTGTCTTGAAAATAAACCCCTGACAAATTAAAATATTTTCAAAACTAATTGAACTATTTCAAGTTTTGTCCAATGATGGGAGTCTTTAATATGAGTATTTTTATTGTCATTTTTGTTCTTCTTTAATAAGCATTTATTATTATGGGTTTCCTGTAGCACTTTATACACTTATTACACCTTATACATTGCTTTATGCTTGTCCTTTCACACCAACTGATGGAGAGACCTCTGTTATGTTTGTCCAAGACATTCACAAATATATTATTGCAGCAACTATTGTGGGAAAGAGGGCTGCCAGACTGGCAGGGAGAAAATAAACCAGACTGGCAGGAACACAATATACAGTCAATAGAAAGTAATACATGTGTTGGCATTAGCAGATTCAACAGAAAGTAACTTTAATGCCACCTGGGATGGCATCTATCATGCTCTAAGTTAACTCTCGATGGGATCTGGCACAAACGTTTAATAAAGTTTTGGAAACTTTAGATTCACACGTGCAGATCCAACACATTATACTCTCTATATATCGTGTTTAGTAAGTCTGTAAGACTAATGTGGCTTCAGACTAATGTATCTAACTCCCTCACTCTTTTCCTGCTGCG